CCTCCCAAAGGCTGCTCGGGCAGCACCTTCCTCCAGCAGTTCATAAATGTTTCCTGCTAGCAGGAGCAGGCAGAGCGCTGACTCCGGCTCCATGGAGCTGCTCCATAGGGATAGACAAAAAGAGGCCGGACAGTCACTTCGTCTCTGGGAGGAGAAGGGAGGACAGAGTGGTCCCCGTTAAGAAAAGAAGGAAAAAACCCACATTTCCTCCGTGCTGGAAACACATCTCCCTGTTGTCGCTGATGCACATTTGAAGTCACGGGCTGCCCTGCTGTCACCATGCAGTCAGCACAGGGCTGGGCATCCACAGGCTCTCCTAGTCAGAGGCAAAACTCCGAGGTGCTTCCACAGGCTCTCGGCAAAGGCATGAGCTTAAAGACAACCACAGCTTTATTAAGAGTACCAAAAAATGAAAAATCCCAAACGAAACAAAACAGAGGCTTAAGACACTGATTTAGCTAAAACATGACAACTGCAGACCGAGCCTGCACGTATGTTTAACGGCTCCTATGTGAAGCACTGACTTTTGGTTGTGAAAGTGCCGCAGCCGCCCAAAAGGGGCCGTTCACGGGGCGCTGCTGAACGGTAACTTCACAGGAGCAGCGAGAGAAAGCAGGCAGGTGCCCTCTGCAAGGCAAATTAAAGTGATGCATCTCCGAGGATCGCCGGCGAAACTCGAGAGCTGGAAAGGAATTTGCAATTAGAGTGGACGGGATAAATACACCAGGTAAATCCTTTTATGTGGCCCTGTGGAGCGGAACAGAGAAATTAAAGATAAACGAGATTAAAGGCTTTTTTTTTTTTTTTAAGTTGGAAGGAAAAATACTTCGGAGGGGGAAATTAGTTTGGACCTTCAGCAAGACAGACATCTGGGAAATCCAGCAGCACAAATCTTTCCTAATCGGGATTGATCACAAATGAAAAATAATAATAATAATAATAAAAAGGAAATAAGAGCACAGCATGGGGGGCTGTGGCTCCGGCGTGCTGGGAAGCACGGGATGCTCCTCGAGGCGCTGCACGGTTCCGGGCAACCTGGCTTTTTTCTTGGCCATTTCCCACGGTTTGGAGATGGAAAGGAAAAGCGAGATGGGGTTTTTTGCAACGGGATGCGCTGGGGACAGCCTCAGGATCGGCGGATACCCCATGCCAAGCTCCTCCCGGAGCTAAAACCAAAACCAAACCGAAGGCTGCGCCGCCTCCTCGCGCCTTCGCCGGAGCCTGAGGCACAAGCGCCCGCGGCTCTCTCATGCCGGCCCCAGCTGATATTAAAAGTTGCCTGGAAATGCTGTTAGCAAGGAAAGCGGAGGAAACGAGTGAAAAAGAAAAATAATAATATATGCGGACCCATTTGGCGCTCTTCCTGGGAGCCCTTTTAATATAAAGCAACTCAACAAAGTTGTATTTTTAGCTCTGGAAAGATGCGTTCCAGTATTTGCCCACTAAAGGGATTTGCCTTAATACACTCACATTCCCCCTCCTTCCTGTGCTTAAAGAAATGAACTTCAATCCCAAACTTAACCACTGGATATAGAGACTCTGTTCTCCCCACTGGCCAGAATAAAACCCAATAAATGTATTTCATTTCTTTTGTGGATTTATAATAGCACCTGGCAAGGATGGTCTTAATCTCCTTACGCTGCTCGCACCACCAAAAGAAACCCTCGCAACAGTTATTGAGAGAGAGATGAAAGGATAACAGGAATAAAATCTGGAAATATAAATATTATCTCCGGGAAGATTGGTTATAAAAACGCACGAAATCCATATCTGCGTCTCCCGAGAGCGCTCGGCGTAATAGCGCAATTTAGACAATAGGTTATTAAAGATGGAAAGAAATATATACTCCTCTTAACGACAGCGTTGCGCAGGGACAACAGCAAAGCACGTTCCGACACTAAATTGGTGGCCCAGATGCAGTGGCAGGCCTGACAGCAAGGCAGGAATTAGCGGGGGGAAAAGACTGGTTGATAGAAATGGCCTCGATCCCCTGGATTCTTCCTTCGACACGGAGCAAATCTGCGCTTTGTCAACACCGTTTTTACCTCAATGCAACTGTATTTCCCAAATTGGAGAGATGCCACCCGTTAGCTGCACGTGCAAACAGCAGCAAAGTGAGCAAGAGGGTTCACCGTTCATCTAGATGCTGAGGAATCCACTCAAATTTCGTCATTCTTTGTGCCCAGCACAGTTGCAATTTCCATGATTAGCCAAGAAGATATTAGTTATTTACTGCGTCAGGAGCAGTGCCACAAAGATGAATTTCTAGGAAAAAAACTAATCACTTAAAAAAAAATAGAAGAGCCCCAGGTTACCAGCAACCTGCCTTGAAGTTTGCTGATGTTGAAAGAAAGTTTCCCAGTGATTTAATGGCCTTTGATGGAGGCCGAAGGCATCTGGGCAACAGGTTTAAAAGGGGATTTTAAGCACAATTTCCTTCAAACTCAACGCCCTTTCCCCACATCTGATCGGCTGTGGTGGGACAAGGCTGGAGAGGAATAGGCAGGGTGCCCTGAAGTCGCGTTAGGAATTAAGTTATTCCCTTGTATTCATAATCTTCATAAAACGAGATGAGTTACGCGGCTCATCGCAGTTCTCCACCTTCAGCTGCTATAAAGAAACCAATTACAGAGCCCTTAAGGGGAACGGACAGGGCTTTAAATCAAGAAAAAGCAGGAAACGGGGACAAGACATAAATGACTTGCTTGTGCCTTAGACCACATCAGAAGGCTTAACTCACTCCTGTAGTTACGAATAGTTAGTTGTTATTATTTTATTAATAATAAGTGTTCCTAGCCCACGCGCACAGATCATTTATTTAACTAGAAAAAAAGAGGATGTCTGGCTTCAGGAAGGTGGTGGTGGTGATTTATTCCTTGTATTTTTAAAAATATGTAATTATAAATATATGCAATTTTACATATGTTTATATATATATATGAATATTTTTAAAAAAATATAATTATCTATTATCCATTACTGACTGCAGTACCAATAGCTTTGTTTAACCCCCTGGGACAGCCCATCATTTTCTCTGGTGTTTTTCGGGGGAGAAAAAAATAAAAATTAAAGAAAAAAATAAAAATTAAATAAAAGGAGCGAAAGGGGGGACGCTGTGTGCCCATTTGTTTAACGAATCCAGCGTTGCCCCCAGTGGGCAAACAGCATCAGGGAAGGCAGCAAGGCAGCACGGGCAGCCCGGAGGCCACCTGAAGGTCTTGCAGCACGCCAGAAACAATTAAAAAAACATCTTATTGGGAAAAGCGGTCTCATTAGCTTGTTTTCAGATGGCAGTTTGCTTGCTTTTTTCCCCACCAGCAACCTCGGGGCAATGAAAACAGCAGTTTGCTTGCCAGGGCTTAAAAATTCTCTTAAAAATGGCATTATTCAATTATCGGTCTATTTGCTGGCCCCAAGGTCCGGCGGAGCAGATACTGTGAGCCTTCATTTAATGTTTTTAAATGCACTTCAGCCCACTTGTGCTGCAATAAAACTTTATTGAATCCGCTTCCCACCTCGCACTCGCCGTCCCTCGCTTTTATTGATATTGTGAGCCCAGCTGCTCTTCTCCCAGCAATAAGAGGAATATTTCTAGCAAAGAAATGACCTTTCCTTCCATCAATACAGCAACTGGGAAAGGTGGTTTCAGCTTCCATGTTAAAAAATTATAATAAAATAAATGGGGAAAAAAAAAAGGTTTAGAACAGAAAGAAGATTCTCCAGCATGGCTTCCTTTGGCTTTTTTTTCCATTAAAAGTTCACAAAAGCTTCTCTAAGCGCCTAAGAAACCTGGCCAATTCCTAACATTTGTCAGGCTGTTTATCCGCACGAGCCCCCTGCTCTTCTGCAAGGTTCCCCACACCTGGCTTGGCCCGTAGGCCACACTGATGCCAGCAAAACCAACCCATGCTGCCGCTGTAAACCCCAAACCCAGCCACTGAGGAGGGCCGGATCCACACGCAGAACCACGCGGCCCCACAGGCGCTTTTGTGCCCGGCCCCACGTCTCACGGGCAGCTCCAGGGCGCTGAGAAACCAACCCAGGGAACGGCAGCCCCTTGGGCGGCGTGCTCGCCCCGCGCTCCCAGCTGCTCCAAGTGCAGCAAATACAGCCAGAAAAGCCGCTGTGCTGACGCCAAGGCAGCGTCTTGCTTCCCCCCAACACAGAGACCATTAAAACATATTTTTCTCCACTTCTTTTTTTTTCGCTCAAAATGAAGGGCCTTATTTATAGTGCAATACTTCCAAACTAGTACTTCTGTATGAGCTCGCTAGTTCTGCCCCAGAGGCCCTTGGCGTCACATTTTCCATAGGCTTAATAACTCACCCCATTAAAAAAAAGGGGGGGAGGGGGAAATAAATACTCCATCATGGCATTTCAAAGCTTCTAGAGTTTGTTCAGAGAAAAAAACAAAAAATCAAATGCCAATACGCTGAGCAGCAGACACGCTCGTTGGAGAGACGCCCTTGATCCCATCCCACCCCACCATGCTTTGGGTGGTGGCTTCCAAGCAGGGCTCCACTGAAAATCCTGCCAGGGACCGTGGATAGGGACTGGCACTATCAAGGAAGATCGAGGTCATCACTTCTTTTTGAGATTTCTTTTGCTGTTCTGGGCAGCAGGACGTTAACCAATTTGGTGTCTCCAGAAAGCAAATCCTGAGCTATGGTTAACATTTTGCAGCTCTGCCATTCCCTTTCTGACACGTGCTGCTGTAACTCCCTCTTTCTACCTTTATACGCATGCAATTTCCCCTCCTAACTTTGCAAGCACACAGCTGAGAAATTCCTGTCTCCAAACACCAAATCTCCCCGAACGTCAGCTCTCCACCTCCTCGCCGATCCCATACTGTGTTTAAAGCACTTTTAACCAAACGCCACCCGTTCAGACAACACAGGTCCGACCAAGGCACGTTGCTACGTGACAGTCACCAGAAAGAGAGGTCAGAAGCGCGGTAATGACTCGTCCCTGCGGCCGCGGGGCTCCCCCAACGTACGTACTGTAAGGGACGCATTCGTACTGCACTTCCAGGTACTTGTAGGTGCCGGGGCAGGGGTCCGGGAAGACGTCAGGGCCCGCCACGACGGCGCACTGCGTCCGGTTACTGCACCTGCAAGGCAAGGAGAACATGGAAGAGGGTGAGAGGGCGGCTTGAGGCACGCGGGGCACGATGAAGGCGCCGGGAGCCTCCGGAGACTCCTCCGCGGGCTACGGCCAACCTCGACGCCAGGCATCCACACCGTGACGAAACGCAAAGACGACCGCCACGTATTCTATAGCGGGTGCACAAAGCAGCTCGTATAACTCATTTATAAAGTGCAAGAAGGCAGGGTCTTGAATAATGCTCTTTCATGCAAATAAAAGACTAGGAACAGCAAGGCTAGAGAGGCAAAAAACAACCCAATTCACCAAATAAGCTGTCTGTCTGCCTTGAGATGCCCTATATTTAAATACATATACACACATACATACATATAAATATACATATATACGCAAAAATATAATTTTTCATTCCAGGTGGATTGAAAAGGGGGATTGCAAAGAGAAAACCCTTTCACTCGCACAAAAAATAAATCAGGAAATAGTGGGACAGAGGGAAAATAATTAAGGCTTTGGTTGTCCCCCCCGTCGCGTGCCATGAGGAGACCCCCCGAGGGCCAGGCCGCCACGGCTGTTCTCTCCAAGACACTGCTCCGGGGGAGGCGCCGCCGGAGCTGCTCGTGTCGCTCCGGAGCGGGGCCGCGGCCTGCGCTACCTGTGGCCTGGACGGGGATCTGATTCGAGCCCCGTAAATTAAAACCGATTCATTAGCGGCTGCCTTTGGCGCTGCCATTTCTTTAATTTCACGGGCTGGTTAATAGGAGCTGATAGGCTTCGCTCACGGGGCCGGTCTGCGGATAACGCTGCGGGCTGGGATGTGCTCGCGGGGAGGCCTCGAGTTACCACAGAAAGCGACGGCGTTCACCAGGCGCAGAAAACACATTTGTGAGCAAGAGGGACAACGGTTCAACCTTGTAACTTAAGCTGGGCGGCTTGTCTGGGATATCACAGCAGCCTGGGGTACCACAGCGACCTGGGGTACTGCAGAGCCCTGGGGTGGCAGGAGCGGAGCGGCCTTGTCGCAGTTAGGCAATCAAAAGAACAAGCCACCAGCCAAACAAAACCCCCCAATCTCCCGTTTTGTAAGACACAGACATCTCGACCTTCCGGCTCCCGCATCCCAGAAGGAGAAGCTCCCATTATTCACATACTTCTTTTTGAGAGAGAGAAAAAATATACTCTAAAAAAAAAAGTGTAAAACGTCTCAGCTACAAGCACAAGAAAAAAAATCACATTCATTATATCTTCCTTGCAGCTGCACTTATTCCCATTTCTTGGATTGTTTTTCTCCTTTGGACAGGAAAAACACATTTATGTGAGAAAAACGCGTCGGTCTAGTGCAACACACGCACTGCACAGAAATCGGGATGAATTGCGACGAAATCCCCCAAGTTGCAGGAGAAAACGACTTCCAAGAGCCGAGAAACCACAGCAATTTGCCCAATATTTGTGTTTGTAACAGCGGGACTGAAGGAAACATCCCAGCTCAGACACAGCTACCGGGCTCAACTCTGGAGTGCATCTCTCGACTCAGATCGAAATAAATAAACAAGTAAAAGGAAACAACCCTTCGTTTCCTTTCAGAGCATCTCCGTTCCTTTTCCCTGGCAACATTTTTGCGACTTTTAAGTGACAAGGTCATGGTACGATAGCAAGGGAGAAACACTTCAAGACATAAACAGCTGCTTATTCCCACTCTGGCATCTTTTTTTTTTTCTTTTTTTTCCTCCAGTGCTGACATTGCTGATATATTTACTGAAAGAGAAAGAAAGGGGGAGGGAAGAAGAAAAAGTTGTTGTTTGGCACGTGATGTGTGTTTTAGGCCCTTCTTTTAACACGTTGGCTGCAGAGGGCTGGATGTGTCTGGAGTGCTACGTTCACAGGAGGAAAAAAACGACCCCCGCCAGGCGTTACCATCCTGGCACTTTATTTTTTAACGGGTAAAGGAGCATTATTTGTATTAGCTCCCATACAGGGTTAATAGAAGAGCTAATGCAAGCACTGGAGCACCCTGAACCGCAGCCTGGCCCATTAACACCAAAAAAATAACTTTTTTTTTTCCTTTAACCTCTCAACCAGAACACGTATTTTGCATAGATTTTATTTTTCTGCAAAGGCAGGGAACGTGAGCAGGCACCCTAATACAGCCACGACATCAATACTCAAGCTTGTTTCTCAAGGTCTATTCTATTTTCTAACGGTTTTACAGTAAGAGACAGACTTAATTCATTATCCTTCGTGGCAACGCTGCAAGACATCCTCTCCCTTCTCCGAAACACAAAAAAACCTCCTCTCCGGATGACTGCTTTAAGAAAGAGGCTGTCAGAGCGAATAAGTCAGCTCGGACTATGCTCTTCCCTGTCAATACATGGCATTTCCAAATCAACCCTTTGGGAAGCACCGAGAGGGAGGAAAAAATAAAAATATTTTTAAAAAATAGATACCCTGGAGAAAGTAAAGAGGAAGCGAACAGAAATCGCACTCCTAAGAGGAGCCTAAGCGGAGTCATAGCTTGCAAATCGGGAGAAAAGAAAATAAATGAGAGGGGGAAGGGAGGCGAAAGCGGGCAGAGAGGGCAGAGCACAACAGCGAGAAGAGCCTTTGCCTCTCCAAGTTCGCAAAAAAATTTAGAAGCAAAGGATAGGGAAGAGGAGAAATCCCTTTATTTTAGTATTTTATTTCATTTCATTTCATTTTATTTATTTTTAATCGATGGCTCCGAGCGCGGTGAGGCTGTTCTCTCGCCTCTGCCGCGATACGGCTACCTGTGGTGCTCAATCCCACCCCGTGCCCCGTTCTTCTGCTTTCCTGACGAGGTTTAACCAGCCACCCCGGCGCTGGGGCTTGGGCCAGAGCTCTTCTTGGATGTACACGGCGCTCATGGCAGCCCAACACATAACCCAAATCTTCATAAAAATCCACTTCACGGAAGACTAACGGAATCAATCCCGATATTCTTCCTGCCATTGACTGTCCCACTGCGGCACATCCCCAACCACGTCCCCCCTGCCCGTCAGTGACCAGTTCCTGCAAAAGGGAAAAGAGATGGAAGAACACCAGGATCATCTCTCAGTAGGGTCAGCCGCAGGGGTGGGCTAGCAGGTTTAAGCCATTGGCTTTCCACCTCTGCGTGGAGGCCACTTGGACATGACCCTGGGCAACACGGTCTTGGTGACCCTGCTTAGTAAGGGAGGTTGGACCAGGTGATCTCCAAAGGATCCTTCCAACCTCAGCACCTCTGTGATTTGGACCAACATGCAACAAATCGGGTCTTCAGCCGTAGACACCGAATGGAACTCAATGCACACACGCCAGCTTGAGGCACAGTTTTCCAGGAAAGCTCAGTGGATTCTTCCAAGAGCCAGGCTCCCCGGGGGCAGCTACGGAGGTTCCCATGCAAAAGCTGCTGCCTGTTCAACGCTCCAGCAATCCCAGAAATTCCAGGTACCCCCGAGGAAAGGAAAATAAAGCACCCTGCCCAGCATTGCCCTTGGTGGGGCAAAATCTGTGAAATCCACAGCAGGGCTCCAGCAAGTCAGTGCTCCAAGTTACTCTGGATGCTGCTCCGACGTCCCAGGCTGGAAGTCCAGGGAGACAGATAAAAGTGGAAAGATGCAGGACAAATTTATCAGATGTCTCCGTAAATCATCCCCACCGTTCGCATTTGTTCTCTGCCTTTCATTCTTTCCTTACTTACATTTCTAAAGCCACTGGGTGCCACGGCGCAGTGGGGCTAATAAAAAGGGAGATAAATTTTAACATCCCTTTTTGAACCGTCTTAAAAACGGTCTCGCTTTCCTCGGAATGCTAATGGCAAACGCTGCAAGAAATGTGCTGCCTCGAAAGCATTCACCGGGCTGGAAGCAACGGCCGAGTCCCGCTCCGGCCTGGAAATGAAAGGCTCTTACCCCCAGCCCTTGTGTTTGGCAGCCTTTGCTTCTGCAACGAACCCCGTCGTCACGGCCCCCTGCAACTTGGGGGTGAAATTCCACCCCAAAAAAAAGGAATATATATATATATATATATATATATATATACACATTTATATATGTATCATTGGAGTTTGTCTCTGCAGTTTCACATTTAATGAAAGAGAAGGAGCGAAATATCTGGAGCACCCTTGGGTTATATTAGCAGCTAATGATGCTCTTCCCACCACACGCCCACTGCTCCGAGAGTTTCAGTCTGTGCTGTGCAGGGGCACCTGGGAAAAACGTCCCCACAGGAGCCGGGAATGGGGCGGATCAGGAAGGGTTGGAGCCAAAGGCCTCCCCAGCCGCCTTTAATCCGGGTGGGTAAGCAAAATAAGTGACGTGGGGAGCGAGCAATTAAAGAGGAGACGGCTTAGCTCCTTGAGAAAAAAAAGGTAAATAACACAAGCAGAAGGAAAATCCGGCACCCTTCCTTCTTCAGCAGCTGCTAAAGCAGGGGAACGACTGCCAGGATGTAGGACTGACCTACATCCAGCCGTAGGGCTTTATCGCACGCAGGAGAAACTTAATGAAGCTGCTGGTGCTTAATAAAAGCCAGGGGAAGCCTCCATCTCACAACAAGGCGCTGCCGCCATGCGGAGTTTGGCCCACCCGAGCACTCCCTCCTTCCCATCCCTCCCCGTTTGAGGGATAAGCAGGTTATCTGCCCAAAGCTTCTTTAAAACATCGTAATTCAAATATTTCCCCTGTGCCCCTTGCTGGGCAGGAGTTGTCACCTGGTAGCTCTTCATCACCCAGAAAAAGGCCAGGAATTTACCTGTAACCACGTAGGGGCTGCTGCCACGTTCCCCAGGGCAGGGGGGACCTGCCAACTGGCCCTGGGCTTTGTCCAACTCTGCGCTGGATGCCCAAGCCCACAAAGCCACTTGTGGGCTTCTCGCTGCATCTGACCCCACGCGCGTCCTGGTGACGTTGGTGTTTACAGACCTCCCGGCTCTCTCTCCAGGAGGCCACGACGCAGGCGTGCAGGTGACCCTGATGCTCGGGCCGGCACGAAGCCGTCCGTATCCCTCTGTGGCTCCCCAGAGACTCGCTTTGAGGGACTCTCGTGTCACCCTGGGGAAACCACCAATCTTGAGGATGGGGAAAGAGAAGAGACATCCAGGAAGATCGTGGGAAGCCCTGGAGACCTACTGACTCCCACTTATTAGGGAAGAAAAGCTTGAGCTGAAGCCTTTTGGCCGATATCCCTACAGAAGGTCAAGCCCCTCTGCTCTGACTCATTGCCCCCTTCTTGGAGGGGATTTACACCTTGCAGAGGCTTTTTGAGTTCCTTAAAGGACTTGATGCCCTTCCAGTTCCTCTGCCCTCGCCAAGGTGAGGAGAAAATGCCTGCCTTGTGCACTGTTCTCCCTGCTTGCAATCCGCCAGCTCTGCCTAGTCTGCAAGCTGGCACGTTTCATCCCCAAAACACCCCAAAGAAATGAACTAACATCACCGTAACAACCTGCACGTTCAAAACCTGCATCAGCCTGGAGGTCCGCAACGCACCACGATCATAACATCGATTCATACTGCTCCGACTAAGCCTTGTCTCCTAAAACCACTCGGACTCTGCTCTGTCCACTTGTCTGGCACTGAGGGAACTTGCCGAGGATACGAAAGAAGCAGATTCAATTCCTTAAAATGTTAGTTCTCACCATCCCGCAGATAGTCCCAGTGGGAATGAGTCCCGCGTGCTGCTGTGCATCCCACTTCTCATCATGAACCTAAGAAGTGCTGGTGGAAACAGCCAGGGCCTCATTCCTTAGACTTCTGCCCCAAAACACTGTGCCCTTTCCTGCCTCACACCATTCCTGGTTGACCCATGAATTCAATTTGAAAATGAAGGGTAGGGAGACACCCTCTTTCAGCTTATTTCGATAGTCCGTTTGGAAGCCTGGCTCTCCAAACTATTTCACTAGTAAGAAACGAGCAAGAATTGGAGCTCAGACACCGAAAGCAGAGGCCTAGATGAGCTCTAAAGGTCCCTTCCAACTTTAACCATTCCATGATTCTATGATCCAAGTTCCTCAATCTTGTTCTCCCTGCAATAAAACAAAATTAATAAAAATCCACGGGTAAACTGAAAAAATTAGGCTCTTCTCTTAAGCTGTAAGTGCCCTTACGAGCGTTGGACTCACGCTAGGCTTTTCAAACTGCTGCCTACAAATTCAGCAGTGCCTTTCAGAACGCACGATTCACCAGAGTGGGCATATGGGCAGTGCCGAGAATGTTTAGTGTGAACAGACTGACAGGCAAAACCTAAAATATTGACCAATGAGGAAAAAAAAAAAGGTATTTTCTGTCCCAATCAGGCCACATATCTGTCCCTGCAACAGCCTGGACAAGGGATGCTTTTGTTCTCCAACGCAAGGCCACCAACCTGGAGAGCCGAGAACCTGGGTACTTGCAAGATACTGTGGAACCGCTGCTAAAATCTGGCCTCTGCCTCACCAGGCATCCCGAGGGCTCCAGCGAGCCTCGTTCCACTCACCGCGGCGCGGCGGAGTAAATAAATAACGCCGTTTACGCAGCGCCCTCCGTTTGTCAGCCCATTTGTCACCCCCGCCGCCTCAGCACGCTGCCGCAGGGCTTTGCTCCGACCCGCCTCACAGGTGTGATGGATGCTTTATTTATCCGGCACCATCCCACCCCGCAGGGCTGCTCCCCGGCAAACACAGGGCTTCGAATCCGCGCACGGTGCAGGCAGGAGGTGCAGAGGGAGAGGAAAAAACCCCAGAGGCAGCAGAGCAATGACAGCCGGGGGGGAACAGCACGTGGTTCAGCCGAAATTGGGAAATATGTGAGAGAAAACGGGCATTAACCTGACCTCTCCGCAAAGCCTTGTGAGATCCACGGATGAAAAAACAGATTATTGTTATATATTTACATATTCTTTACACAAGCCTAGAAGCTGCTACGGAAACCTGCTGAGATCCACTGGGTAGTGAAGGGCAGCAAAACCTCCTTCCCCCACTTTCTTCCTTGATGTGGGGAGGCAGGGAGGAAGGGGAAGGAGGTCAGAAATAACGATGTGAGCAGACATCAGCTTCGTGTTTATCGCCCGAGCAATAAAAGATTAGAATTGACAAATGGAGAGGTTTTTGGAGACGCAGATGCTACAATCATTTTAATATAATTTGGATTTCCAAATCAGTAATTACTCTATCACATATTTATAATTTTGTAGATGCTACTAGAAATGCTGATGCCTTTTTCTATGCATAGTAATGAGCAGCAACAAGGGCTGTTAATATAAAGCCCGCAATGTTTGCATTCATATGTAAATAGGTTATGTAAACGTTTTAGACATTTCTTACCAAAACGCGGAGTTCTAATCTAAGCGGCTCCGTTGCCTAAACTGGAAAATCGCGTTCTGCATAGAAATGGCTTCCCGGGCTGCCGGCGGAGCAGCGCGCCGGGTTCCGACGGGATCTGCCACGAGCAGCGGCATCCGGGCGCTCGGACAGGCACGTCGGGGTGCGGAGCGCTGCTTGCCCGGGGTGGCACCTGCATCCCGGCCATGGAAAAGCACAGGCACCTTTTCCCGAGGCTGCTCCAGGAACGCCGCTCCAGCAGCATTGGAGATCTAGCATTTGATTTAATTAAGCTAATTTAGTTAAACGGATACAAACCGCTGGTGGAGAGGGATGGAATCAGTTTAGTGTCCCCCTGCTCCTAATGGACTTACGATCAAACTGAGTAAGCCGGCACCAGAACTCCAGCCACAGACTGCAAGCAGGGCTTGCTGCTCATCTAAGTCGCATGAATTCAAACCCATAACTTTGGTAAATCTTCTATGATCATCTGGGATAGACTGGAAGGCGAAAGAGCGGACAGGGGACCCTCCAGCGCGCCAAAAAACACTTCACAGGACGCTTTTCTCCCCGTCCCTCCTGCTGGATTGAGCGAAGGGGTCGGCGTTTTCTTAGGATGACCTAAGTGTGAAAAGCTGGCTGCATTTAGACAGGAATGGAGGAGGGAGAGCCACTGTGCTCCCTCACCTGGAACTTGTTATCCCAAGTGGAGCAGCAGACGAGCACGTGCGGCCAAATGAAAGCTACTCAGAAGCTCCTGTTTGGTGAACCTTCACCTCTACATTTTAGGGGGGAAATGTAAATAACGGGCCACATGTTACATTTTTTTCAGCAGCGCTGGTGGTCTGACATCACCGTTTCACTTCATTGTAGCAAAACTGTTAGCAAACCTGACCGGATTTCTCGTTACCTAACTGTTGCCAGTGAGGATGATTATTTTTACTACATCAGCCCGATGAGAGACCCTTATTGGGGAATCAAAGGCCCAGCTGGTTGTTGAAATGCAGCTTCCGACCTGAGGAGTTTGCAGTGCGGCCTGCAGATCCTTCAGTAGACCCTGTGCTCAAAGCGATGCTCTCCATCTGGACAACCTGCCCACAAGGAAGGGAGAGGGGCACGGCCAGAGGAGCTACCTCTGCCCAAGGGCAGGAACAGGAACCTAAGGGAGAAAAGTTGCCAGGGTAAAAGTACCGTGAAGACGAAGGTGGGATGGATCTGCTGCCTGGAATCACTTTGATGCCTGGAATGAGTTTCAAAAGTTGCTAGGGCTTAGATAGCCTCTGCATTTTCCTTCATGGGAGATGCTGTTACATAAGACCCTGCGGTCCATAGCGATTCATTCTAAACCCGCTCGGCCGTGGGGTAAGGGAGAAAGCCGAAAACGAACCAAAAGCAGGCAAAAAAACCCCAAAAGGGCTGCGAGGAGCATCCTTGGGGCCAAGGCAGCTGGTTAATCAAAGCGGCTTAATCAAAGTGCACTTCTAGAAAGCACAGGCTAAAGTGGCCAAACGATAAGAAGGATTAAACCCCTCGAACCGTAGCTCGCCTGTCCCTGCTGCCAAGTGCACGGGACGTCTGAGAGAGGTTTAACTTGCACATTTGCTGATCTGGATCCAGGTCAGTAAAGGCCCCGTTTTGCTCCTCGACCAACACGTAGCCACTCCAGCCTCTGCACTTCTTCCACCGCTCGTTTGCAACCCCAAGAATATCAGCTGTGCTGCTTCTTGGCAAGTCCCAGCACTCCTCGGAGCCCAGCATTTTCTGACAGACTCTTTCTTTACCTAGGAGAAGGATTAACCCTTGAACGAATAGGTTGTGCGGGAAGGTTGTGTAACGCCACTTAGGGAAAATAAAAGCGTTTCAGTTCAAACTGCATTGCGTGTGTTATCATTAACGATAATGCAGATGTGAAAAGCAGGATATTCTGACTCAAGGGAACATTTCTTTTAAGGGAATTCAGTCTCACAGACACCCTGCAGCCACATGGATTCAGGATGGGGTTGTGTCGTTCCTGGGACGTCCCTAGGTAACTCCAAGAGCGGCTCCTTGTGCGTGTAGGTCACTAGAGCTTACACAGATGTTGGGGTACACACGGGCACTGCTGTGACTTGGCATCGGGGTAACACAAAAAGGAAAAAATCACACACAGCAAATGCAGCTTTCTACCCGTTTTGCCTCCGCTTCAGGTACAAGGCGTAGCAAAGCAACAGCTTTCCTCTTTCATCTGCTTCCCAGCATATTCTGATGGAGGCTGTTTTTCAGCTCGAGTCGTGGGATGGCCATATAATGCATTTACTTTTGCAGCCTTGGGAAGGGATTTAAATCAGTGCATGAATGAGGCTTAAAGAAACAGAAAGCCCCCTAACGCAAATGCAGCTGTGCCCGATAAGGAGGACAAGGGACAGAAATCCCCGACTTGATTAACTTAGTGACCTAGAAAGAGGGATGTGTCTCACCCCAGCAGCGCGGCACAGGGGGACACTCATTAGCTGTCCTCGGCGCCTGGGAGCATCCGCGGCGCTCGCTCCCGCACCCCAAGGGGCTGTTGAGCACCAGCCGGGATGCGCCGCCGCGGCCTGCCCGCAAAGGGAACGGAGGGACGGGCTTCGCACGAAGAAGCGCCCTGCTCCCACCCGCGCGCCCGCCTTGGCTTTTCAGAGGGATTTGGCTGGCCCGAAACCACGGGCAGCCTCTCGTCAAAATGCCTCAAACCCAGGTTAATTACGGCCATTCTGCAGGGGGGAGAAGGGAAACAACCCATGGTGCCCAGAACACGCAGGCTGGGAGTATTTGGTTCCTAGGAGTATATGGATTCCCAGGTCCAGGTCCATCCCAAAAACTCAACCAAGGGATGGCAGCTTGTGGGAATGAAGAAAAGCCAAGAAAGCTGGATCTGGGCAGAGATCCAGCCCGGCGCCGAGCGGAGGCAGCTCCGCATCCCGCCTGGCGTGCCGGAAAGCAGGACAGAGCGAGCACGGGAGCGAGGGGCGCCAAGAGGCGTCGGCGAATCCTTCCGGGAAGCACAAAGGAGTGCTGGGAAAGCGGGAGCCACGCGGCGCCAGCTCCTCCGGCCAGGCGCGGCGGCCGTGACAAGGTGATGGATGGGGCACGTGGAAGCGGCACAAAGGGAAGGAACCGCAGCGGGAGGAGGAGGAGGGAGCGGGGGACTGGCCGAGCAGCGAGGAACGGCGCCCAAACGGCACGAGGATCCAGAGCCAGGCAGGAACCGGGAGCGTTGCCTGCACCGGGGACAAAGAGCAACCGGCTCTTTCACAAAAGGGCTGTGGAAACGGCTCCGAGGAGGAGCACGAGGAGAGGAGAAGGAAGTGGGGCTGGGAAGAAAGGCGGCAACGCAGGAGAGCTGAGCCGGGGCGGGTGCAGGGGGCTGCCAGGCCGGCGCGAAGGACGGGGAAAGGCATTGAAAGGCCCCGAGAGGAAGAGCAGGAAAAGCACAGCGACCTCTCCAACCTGGCCGCCGCCACCTTATTTTCTTCCCACCTTAACTATTCTTTCCTTTTTTTCTTTTTTTCTTTTTTTTTTTTCCAGCAGGGAAAAAGAAAAGTTTTTATTAGTTGAATTAAAAAAATCCCTACTTGACTCCGGCCCATCCTGGGCGACAGCAAATCCTCTCCAGAGGGGTTGCAACATCCACCTGATCTGACGGCAGCAACCAAACGGAAGTGGGGACTGCAAAAGCGAGGTGTTACATCTGCATTAAAGCAACACGTAGGTCGGAACTGGAGAAAATCATTTGGGTTTTGATCACTTTGGAAGGGAGAGCTCCTTGGGAAACCCACCGTTTCGGGACACAGCAAGCAGGGCCAACAGCAGCTTTTGCACAGTCCCTTTCCAACCACGTGTCCTTTTATCAGCCCTAGTATTTCCCTCCCTGACTCCTTTCCCCATTCCACGGTAGTTAAAGGATTAAAAAAAATTCCTGCTATGCTCGAAGCGACTGTCACCCGAAACACAGCTTCCTTGCCCTGAACCTGCCAAAGAAAACACATCTAGAAAAGAAAAACAAAGGTGAGGTGGAAGAGGAAAATACTGAAAATCCATGCAAAAAAAAAAAGTATATATATGTATATAAGAATATAAGATATATATATACTTTTTTTTTGCATGGATATATATTTTATATATATATACATATATCTCCCTCAAATCCACTCTTTTTTTTTTTCAAATAAAGTACTAATCAAGTTGCACTCTGCTGCACCTCAGCCTGGATTTTCTAGAGCAATACTGCTCTTGCAACAGAGCCAGGAAGAAACCGCCTCTTTCCTCTTGGCATAACCACTGCAAAGCAGCCCCAATCCCGTTAATTTATCCGCACTCCACTGTTGCCCACAGGGAAAACCAAGCAAGAGCAGTGCCCGAAGCCACAGCGAGCTCGTGCACGAAACAAGTTCCGGCTCCTCTCTTCAGTGGTCGCTTTGCTCCATGGGGATGTTGATCTTATTCGTGTACAATCGTGCTCCTATGGATATAATTTTATTACTGCATATGAACACAGAGCAGTTTGTTCGCTGACACGCGCAGGAAAATAGGAGAAGTTCCTCTTTTCAAGCACAACTGCACTTACCACGAGCAGGTAAGGATGAAGCACGTCTCCAAGCTGGAACATCACTGCAAACACGCCCTGCCTGCAGGATTCAAGGTCAAGAAGTCCTTAACGGGCTGCATTCCTATTAGTGCTGGTTTTCTATGTTTTCACTTAGTGGAAAAAAAGGGATTTTTTCAAAACATGATATAAAAAAAATGAAGAAAATGTTGACACGCTCCTGGACCTCTCAGGCACAACAGTTTGCCTTTTCATCTCCTCTTCTGCCTGGCAATGACGAGGGACTAGGAAGCCTTTTTCCAAAGACTGGCAGTGCCCGTCAAGGACTTAGCAGCGGAATTGATGGGAAATCCAGAGTGTTTAGACAGGCGTGCCTGAAATCAGCCTGTCCAGCAGTGCGTGCCAAAACCCTCGCGCCGGCACGAGAGGCAGCCAGGGAAAGCGGGCCAAGGCCTGGCAGCCTCCACGGCAGCCTGCTTGGATGGGACCCCAGCGGCTCCGTCCAAAAAACGCAAAGCAGAGATTTGCTCTGGGAACTGTTAGGAACGGGAGCGTGGCCGGTAATAGGCCGAT